TGGCCATTGGCTGGCAACGCCGGCCAATGGAGAGAAAGCCACGCTCAGCCAGGGCAGGTCACTTGACTCTAGCTAGCCAGTCAAATCCAGACTTGGTGCATAGGCTTCTGGGAGATGTAGTCTTTTTTTTAAACCCAGTTGGGTGTGGATAAAGGGGGTGCTCGGACTCTCGGGGTTGCACTGTGGGGCTGCCATGTTGCCTGGGGGAGTGGGATGCCCTGGCACCACGTGGTATGGCTGGGGTTGCTGCTAAGGGCTTGGGCTGCAGCAAGTGTAAGCCAGCCCTGGGGACCCCCTTAAAATGGGGCACCCCCACTTTGGGGTCCTGCTGCCCCACTGTTTGAGAGCCACTGCATTGGACCCCAGTGCATTGCCAGAGCCCCTTGGACTGCAACCGCGAGGGCCTGCTGCCTCCCCAGAGCCCCTGGGACGGCAACCGCTGGGGCCTGCTGCCGCCCCAGAGCCCCTTGGACTGCAACCGCGAGGGCCTGCTGCCTCCCCAGAGCCCCTGGGACGGCAACCGCTGGGGCCTGCTGCCGCCCCAGAGCCCCTTGGACTGCAACCGCGAGGGCCTGCTGCCTCCCCAGAGCCCCTGGGACGGCAACCGCTGGGGCCTGCTGCCGCCCCAGAGCCCCTTGGACTGCAACCGCGAGGGCCTGCTGCCTCCCCAGAGCCCCTGGGACGGCAACCGCTGGGGCCTGCTGCCGCCCCAGAGCCCCTTGGACTGCAACCGCGAGGGCCTGCTGCCTCCCCAGAGCCCCTGGGACGGCAACCGCTGGGGCCTGCTGCCGCCCCAGAGCCCCTTGGACTGCAACCGCGAGGGCCTGCTGCCTCCCCAGAGCCCCTGGGACGGCAACCGCTGGGGCCTGCTGCCGCCCCAGAGCCCCTTGGACTGCAACCGCGAGGGCCTGCTGCCTCCCCAGAGCCCCTGGGACGGCAACCGCTGGGGCCTGCTGCCGCCCCAGAGCCCCTTGGACTGCAACCGCGAGGGCCTGCTGCCTCCCCAGAGCCCCTGGGACGGCAACCGCTGGGGCCTGCTGCCGCCCCAGAGCCCCTTGGACTGCAACCGCGAGGGCCTGCTGCCTCCCCAGAGCCCCTGGGACGGCAACCGCTGGGGCCTGCTGCCGCCCCAGAGCCCCTTGGACTGCAACCGCGAGGGCCTGCTGCCTCCCCAGAGCCCCTGGGACGGCAACCGCTGGGGCCTGCTGCCGCCCCAGAGCCCCTTGGACTGCAACCGCGAGGGCCTGCTGCCTCCCCAGAGCCCCTGGGACGGCAACCGCTGGGGCCTGCTGCCGCCCCAGAGCCCCTTGGACTGCAACCGCGAGGGCCTGCTGCCTCCCCAGAGCCCCTGGGACGGCAACCGCTGGGGCCTGCTGCCGCCCCAGAGCCCCTTGGACTGCAACCGCGAGGGCCTGCTGCCTCCCCAGAGCCCCTGGGACGGCAACCGCTGGGGCCTGCTGCCGCCCCAGAGCCCCTTGGACTGCAACCGCGAGGGCCTGCTGCCTCCCCAGAGCCCCTGGGACGGCAACCGCTGGGGCCTGCTGCCGCCCCAGAGCCCCTTGGACTGCAACCGCGAGGGCCTGCTGCCTCCCCAGAGCCCCTGGGACGGCAACCGCTGGGGCCTGCTGCCGCCCCAGAGCCCCTTGGACTGCAACCGCGAGGGCCTGCTGCCTCCCCAGAGCCCCTGGGACGGCAACCGCTGGGGCCTGCTGCCGCCCCAGAGCCCCTTGGACTGCAACCGCGAGGGCCTGCTGCCTCCCCAGAGCCCCTGGGACGGCAACCGCTGGGGCCTGCTGCCGCCCCAGAGCCCCTTGGACTGCAACCGCGAGGGCCTGCTGCCTCCCCAGAGCCCCTGGGACGGCAACCGCTGGGGCCTGCTGCCGCCCCAGAGCCCCTTGGACTGCAACCGCGAGGGCCTGCTGCCTCCCCAGAGCCCCTGGGACGGCAACCGCTGGGGCCTGCTGCCGCCCCAGAGCCCCTTGGACTGCAACCGCTAGGGCCTGCTGCCTCCCCAGAGCTGGGACTGGCACCCCTGCGTCCTGGCTCCCAGATCTACTTCGACTGCAACCACTGGAGCTTGCTGCCTCCCCAGAGCTGGGACTAGGACACAGGAGTCCTGGCTCCTAGGCCTAAGCACTAGAACCTGCCCTCTTCCCAGAGCTAGGAAGACAACACGTCTCCTCTTCCATGCTGGGCAAGTCATGGAAATTAGCATTTTCTATTACAGCAGAAACAAAACACAGGAGCATCTGCGCAACTCTAATGTTTTTCATGGACTTTCTGGTACCTGTTTGTTTTTGTTTTCATTTAGTACCAGAAATGTTCCTTAAGCGTTTATACGGTGACCTGTAGGATTCCCGTGGTATGTGAGCATCTCATAGTTGTCAAGTGCCAGAGGGGCAGCCATGTTAGTGTGTGTCTGCAAAAACAACGGGGAGTCTTGTGGCACCTTAAAGATTAACAGATAATTTGGGCATAAGCTTTTGTGTGTGAAAACCACTTTGTCAGATGCATGGAGTGGAAATCGCAGCGGTTGGTGTATACCGTACCAACCTGTGTGTACATATTACCTATTACCTCAGCCTTTTACCCATGATATCTTATGCCCAAATAAATCTGGTAGTCTTTAAGTTGCCACAGGACTCCTTGTTATAGTTGTCAATCTATTTCTTCTCCCAACACCCTGGAAAGGCTGGGCAGTACAATTAGCTCCATTTTACCAGTAGGGAGCCACACTTGTTTAGTGACTTGTAGGTCATGCGACATGAACCCAGGTAGCCTAAATCTTAGGTTAATTCCCCCCTGCGCAATCCTTCCACCCAAATATTCTGCCATCTTTATGACCAATGTCTGTGCCCCAAGCACAATCTGAGCCAAGCTGTTCCTAAAAAGATTAAGCTAACGTCGTCTCCCCCCTCCCCCCCTTTTTTAGCAGATTTCTTCCGCACTAAAGACCGTCCGCCATGGCCCGTACCAAGCAGACTGCTCGTAAATCCACTGGTGGGAAGGCCCCCCGTAAACAACTGGCCACCAAAGCAGCCAGGAAAAGTGCGCCCTCAACCGGGGGAGTGAAGAAACCTCACCGTTACAGGTACGTGGTGTCTGCTTTCTCTGCTGGTGTGTGAGGGACACGTAAAGGCAAGGGCTGAGTTTTGAAAAAAACAACAAATGATCTTTATCATAGCCTTAATTCCTATGTGCTATGGGTGAGGAAGTGTGGGCTAGTAGTTGGGGATTAAGACTCCTGATCTAGAATTCCTTGTGCCAGCTATGTTGCTGGCCTGCTGGTGTGACCTGGGAAAATCACTTCCCTTCCCAGTGCCTCAGTTTCCCCTCTCCTCCTTTGCCAGTCCCATCTGCTTAGCAGGTAAGCTCTTCAGAACAGGGACAGTGGCTCAGGATGGGCACATACAGGGCTGAGCACAAAAAGCCCTCGACAGAGCAGGGCTCCAAGTGGCTATTGTAATTACAGAGAATTACAAATGATTTGTAGTGAGTAGTTTTCACAACTATTACCCTCTGCTGGCTTATTAAGGCAAGTATAAGGGACACCTGCATGCGTGCAGAGTTGCTTGTAGCCAGCTCAGAAATCCATGTTCGGCAAAGCTCCTGCCCAAAGGTGGAGATTTCTTCCCTGTTCCAGTCCTTGATGGGAAGAAGCTGCTAAAGTACCACAAAGCCACTTCAAATAGAGAAAACCTTGGACGTTGTAGTGGCCTAATATTAGGGGTTGTCAGCTTTGCCAATCCCCTTTAATTACTGCACTTTCTTATTAACAGGGAAGTTTGTGAAGTGATCAGGAGTGAAATAGGTCAGTTAGTAACTTGGGGGTCCTCTTAAGTCCCCAGAGACTCTCTGTGTGTGCGCGCGCGCCCTGTCGCCCTCGGCTCCTCCGATGGCTGAGCGTGTTTGGGAGCACGGGAGTTAAATTCCGAGCCCTTCCTGCCATGCCTTTGAAATCTCTTTCAGGCCTGGCACCGTGGCCCTTCGAGAGATCCGGCGGTACCAGAAATCCACTGAGCTGCTGATTCGCAAGCTCCCGTTCCAGCGTCTGGTCCGTGAGATCGCTCAGGACTTCAAGACGGACCTGCGGTTCCAGAGCGCAGCCATCGGAGCCCTACAGGTAGGCGACTTTGTGTGTCTTCCCCGCCAGGCGGACAGAAGGAAACTTGTCTAACTTGCCCCCCAGACGGTTGGGAAACACTTTCCAGAGCGTGAGCCCGACCTGCTTTGCAATCATCATGTCTGTAGACACTAGAGATGAAGGTACGTGCTCGTCTAGAGGGTGAACGTTCCTCTGCTGCATGGAGCCTCTGGCTTCAGAATATAGAATGTGAATTCCCCACTGACATCCACAGATGACTGCATCTCAGGGCTGTGTGCATTTAGGTGGGGGAGTGAGGCTGCCATCAGCGGCAGTGCCCAGTAGCTGTGTGTAAATCGTGTCGAGCTGTCTGAGCGAACAGTGCTGCAGAAATGTAATGTTACGACTGTGCTCTGAATCTACCCGCCGGTGACAGGGGAAAGCATCCACATCTCAAAGCTGCTGGCATGTGGGTGCTGAGCAAATAGAAAGAGCTGCCGCATTTGCGCCTATGCTGCCCTCTAGTGTAGAAGGGTGAGTGAAGGTTTGGGGTCTCAGAATTGGTTTCCTCACATGCCAAATGGGGTTCAGCCGACACTTGGGAAGCACACATAGCCAGGTAGCTACTAAGCAGGTAGGGCCAGTTTTTTCCCGAGAGCTCAGCTGACATCAGAATCAACACACTTGGGGAAAAATCTGGCCCTTGGTACAATGGGAGCATTTTGATGCCTCCTAAAGAGACTATTGCGAAACAAATTGAGTTGTTACTTCTGTTGTGGTTTTTCCTTGGTAGGAAGCCAGTGAGGCTTATCTCGTGGGTCTCTTTGAAGACACCAACTTGTGTGCAATCCACGCCAAAAGAGTCACCATCATGCCAAAAGACATCCAGCTGGCGCGTCGTATCCGCGGCGAGCGGGCTTAACTCATTGGTGGCCGATACCTGCTCACACAGTGTGTTAGAATAGACTCTAGGGTTGTTTTTTTTCCTACTCCTGTTTGTAGTGGCTAGGACACAGGGAGATGTTATAAACCTATCTTAGTAATATGTAAGCGATCAGGAGAATTAAATCCTTTTGTTCACAATGTACAAGCAAAAAAACTTTAAAAAATTTTCAAGACTTGGATTTTTTGTTTTGTTTTGTTTTTGTAAACTTTTTTTCAGAATTGCAAAAAAATATATGAAACAAGGGGGAAACATTTTTGAAATATCTGGTTTTATACACAATACTTAAGTAGATGTAGGCATAACATAAGCAGCTTTGGGTCTTTGGTTTGTAAAAATATATCTGCAAAAAATCACGCTACACTATTTTTCATTATTTGATTTGTTTTTTTTTCCTTTGTATTTAGAATGGGCATGATCTTTAAACTTGTTTTTTTATTTCCATCAGTCTCGTGAAATGTGACTTGGACCTTTGTAACTTTCAGGTTTCTTCACCCTGTGGTGGGAACAAAAAAAAATAAATGTTGAACAATAACTTTTTTGTTTTCATCTGGTATTTGCTATGGCACTAGGATAGGTGTGTGTGTCATGTTCTTTATGAAATCAAAGCAACTTACCTTGTGCTGACCCACTATATCCTGTGCTTTTAAGGATCTCTGAGCCTTCTGCAAGCATTATTTAAGCCTTCCAAATCCTGGTGGGGAAAGGAGTATTAGACACATTTTGCTCATGTGGGAAATTGAAACCTGCAACTGTTGCAAGTACTTGGCCCCAAATCACACAGCAAGCCAGTGGCAGAACCAGAAATAAAACTCAGGAGTCTGGAATCCCGGTTCCTGCTCCAGCTGATGCAGAGGAAAGAACGTCGCCCTCCTTTCTTGTTGCAGAGAGACCCAGACGGCAGGGCCTCAGGACTCCTGTGTTCTTGGGCTGACTTGGTATGGCATTTACCTTCTCACTGGTACTGGCAGAGTGGCAGAGCTGTGCCACTTACTTAACACCTCTGCAATGCTTTGGGTTCATCTGTTGGAAGTAGTTATCAGGTAGACCCCCTACCCCCAAAATACTGGACACACTTGATCGCAGGTGGGGGGGG